TTGTAACAATGAAATAATTTTGGTATCTGGCTGCATTTAAAAATCTCTTTAATGTTGTGACGCAAACTTGATGGCTGAAACACAGAACCCACCCATCTCTTTCCACTACGGCGGAGCTCGCTAATACGTCGGATTTAGAGGGCGACTTAAATTGAATACTAATCGATCACTCGATCATACTAAATCGAATGTATTTTCAATTGTGGGGGCAGAGTGTCCCGCTAGCTCTGTGCCATGACGTAACATATTGATGTTAGTTGATATTGGTTGTTAGAAATTCTGGGCGTGTCAACTACTAAGGAATTGATCCCGTAAGTGTAATAATGTTTTCCTCGGGAGGTGGTGACGAGATCCGACGCCGACCTACCATCCGCCAGCAGGGTTTTCCCCCCAACCAGGTATCTCCCACCAGCGGGGCACCGCCCCAGCCGGGACAATCTCTAAGCTTCCAACCGGTTTCTCGGCATGTGTGGTAGTGTAGTGCAGGTTAGTATGTGGAAGAGACAGGACAAGGAAGAGGAAGGAAAGATCGCGCGAGGTCCGTGGCCTGCTTGTTAAGTTTCTGCTCCGGCGTTCCCATGGTGTTGATCGCAGAAAGCACGGTCACTACCGATCGGAGCAGCCGGCCTCTAGAATTCTCCTCCGGACAGCGACTGAGCTTAGCTAGTGTCGAAATTCCGCCTTCGGTCGGGACTCGAACCTTTGGTATTCCCGGTTAGAGACTCTGCAGTGACGATGGTTTTTGCCCTGAGCCATATCAGCCGGTTAGACGTTAAGGATGTTTTTGAAATTGGGACTCTTTTTTTCTGGACCAATCAATCTGAATCATTTCTGGACCATCGTCCTGAACGCAAATTTCTATTGTACATGATGGAATGAAAACTGTTTGACGGATGTTTCTCAACGAAGTATTTTGATGAACTAGTTCCTTCATTTTACTTTGAGCTCAGCATGACAAGGATAAACACAGATACAGAAATAATGTTCCTAATTTTACAGAATGAAATAGGATTCGACATTTCAATTTAGTAACACGTCAGTCTTATCAAACTTGTATCAAGTCACCGCTTATCACATCCGGAAAACAAATGGCGTATCTCCTTCAGATCATCGTGCAATGAGTTGTAATGCCATGAATCTCACAAATGCAAATCAGAACGCCGAAGTTACTACAACAAATGACCAGCGTATAGTGCGTGTTTGCGGTGAAACCAGAGGGAGAAGCTCGAAGTATCTCGTAGTCTCAATCTAGCAGCGTCCGAGTTTCGTTCTCGCAGAAAGTGATGGCAGACAGATAAGGAATTGGCGGAGATAAGATGTGCGATGGAGATGTTCAGATGAGAACCGGTGGCATGCGTTGCGAGGGCACGTCGGCCGTTGGCTTTCTCCCGCCCTGCCGCGGGCAGCGCTTAGGTAGCCGGTCGCATGCCCTGCGTTATTTACTCTTACTCACAAGAGATGCTCCAGCGCCTTGGAGTGTCCTAATCGGTAACGGAACATGAGTATAATATGTGGTAGGTTCCGTTGCTGGCCTCACTAACTCCGAATTTTGATAGAATGAAAAACGTACATAAAGTTTCAACGTAAACATCACTTACTTTTCACTTTTCAATCTATATATTAAAATTTATAGGTCTTTGAAAAAATACTCGGAATTTTTGTTCGCAGAATGCTCAAACACTGCTTCTTTCACCTCAAACTCGTCAGAAACTTTTCTTCCCTGAAAGTTTTTCTTCAGTTTTGATAACGGAAAGACGTTGATGTCCAATCTGAACTGTTGTGTAAATGGTCCAATTCCTTAAAGCCAAAGTCCTTCATAACATAATTTGCAATCTAAGAAGTAAGCACATGTGCGTTGTCGTGAAGAAGCAAAAGAGCATGAGATTTCACGCACCGCATCCACCTCGAGTTCCTCCCTCCAGAAAACTGATTGAGATGTCAGCTACAAACTTATAGCATTATAACAATTAAATATAGAATTGTAAACTGATCAGAAAATTTTCTCATTGATGACAGATATCTTGGTAAGGCCGGAAATTTATGACACCACCAATGTGATCTTTGATCAAGTGGTCTTAGTTTGCAAAATAATAGAAATGGCGGTAATTTGGATTTTGAACCCATGTATGTTCCATATTTCAAGTAACGTGTGAAATGTTGAGACCAGAAATGTCAATCGAATGAACAAAAATCCAATGACACCTTACACAAGTCAAGGGCACCTTACGTCGAAAATATGTAAAGCGTTCAGTAGTTTTAATTTTCGCTAATGTAGAGGGCCATTAAGTTTGCATGCTCAGAAAACCATTCAGAGTAAGTCGACACGTAGAATAAATCATTACAAAAGCCAGGTACCTTTGTACTAAAGGACATCACATATTAATAACATCCTAACAATTAATAGTAAACTCTTACCTTTTAAATTAGACCTATCCATTCACCAACTTATGAAGGTATCCAAAATTTAATATTCTCACTTGTTAATGGCTGTCACATTGATTTTTAGTATTTGTTTACTGCCTATTTCACTTCCACACTGAAAGTAATTCGTTTGTTCGTTTTAATTGTTTGATGCCCCAAGCACGTGAATTGGTTAGGATCCATGAGCTCGGGACGACCGACAAGAACATAATCTCCTTATAAACCCCGTATTGGGGTTAAATATCGTAGCCAAGACCATAAATTGCCTTCAGTACGGATCATGATCCTCGTGCATGCAGGGCTCGAACCGAGTTTAACTCAGAGCCGATGTATCTGCAGGGATTCTAATAGAGAGGTCCTAGGGTTCGAGTCCCGACGATGGCGGATTTTCGATCGATTGATGATTCAGGGCTCTTGGACGGTTCAGGCCATATTCCCGTAAGTCTAGTGCATGTTTTTATCGCGTGACGTGATCTTCCTTGTGGGGGTGTTCCTCAGCCGGATATGTTCTATCTGTGGGGTACTGCCCCAGCCGGGACAAACTCTAAGCGCCCGACTGGTTTCCCGACAAGTGTGGTAGTGTAGTTTATGTGAGTATTAGTGTGTGCAATAGGGAGTGAGGAAAGGACAAGAAAGAGGAATAAAAGATCACGCGTGGTCCGTGGCCCTGTTGTTAGGGTATTCGCATAGTGTTGATCGGAGAAACCATGGAAATATACCGATCAGTGCAACCGACCGCCAGAATTCTCCTCCAGACAGCGACTGAATCCTATTTAGCTATCTAGCTAGAGTCGAAAATCTTGCCAGCGTTGGGACTCGACCTCTAGGACGACACGGTCAGAGGCCCTGCAGTGAAATCAGTCGATGCCCTGAGCCACCTTTGCAGTAGCCTTTCGCAATGCGTTGTAAAGTAACGTGCATGCATTGTATGTGAATTTCTGGTAGTGGGCTGTTGATACTGACCCTTGATGAACGCGATTTATAAGACGTGTGTTGTAATCATAAATATCAGTATTGAATGCAAATATGTTCCCACCGTTAAGTCAGTTTTGATCAATATTACAGATTCATAAATAAATAGGCATGGCAATGGTAAGATTCCAAGCTTAATGAAGAGAGGCTTGTAGAGATCACATGTTTTCACACGGATGGCATTTTTTTTTCATTATTCGAATAATTTTCGTTTGCAAGCTAACGATCTGGGAACTACATAATCAGCTTCCCCAGAATCTTATGCTACAGCTCAGGTGGGAATGCACATTTGCAAACTATACGCCACAAGCTGCATGTAGGCTGACAGAATTTGAGAGAATTCTATTTATCCGGTTTATCCGCTAGCGTTGTTCGCAGACAGACAAACGGACGAACAGTCGGAGTCGGTTGAATTAACTAGAACGAGAAAAGGTATATCATTATCTTATATCACCACTAATTTCTTGTGGACTGTGACGTTATTGTCATTAAAGACTGTCACTCAACGAATTGTTCTCCTAATCTGTTTTGTTTGTATTAAGTTGCAATATTAGTCATGCGATTGACGATTGTGATGTAAGTGCATTGTGTACGGCGAAATCCTGAACTGTTTTTCAAGGAAGGCTCAAGTGATCTGTTGCTGTCTGTACATACCAATAGAGGGAGATGGCCTTGATCTAATGTATTTACACAAAGTTTTCAGACTGTAAATGTAAAATTTGTTCACTTGTCATTTGCAACTGTCGAAAGACAGCAACGAACCTTTTGCACATTGTGCGAATTATGTTTATTTTCAAAGGGGTTCTAGCCATCCCGATAGAGACGTCCTGGGATCAAGTAATAGTTTAGGAAACTCTCTAATATTAGTACCTTGCCTCCCGACAAATGTGAGTTCTCCTCTCACAGATCGGAAGGGACACGAGTACTGTTGGGAAGGGACATGAGTACTGCGGAGCTTCTTGGCATAAAATCGCGGTGGGGCCCATCTCCGTGAATAAAATCCTTCAGATTCACTAAAATACAAATTATGATAGAACAAATACTTATGAAAATTCATAAATTACTTTACAAATTACAAAGCATAGAAGAATATCTGATTAACGTCAGGGGCGGATCCAGAGACAAATTTTGATAGGGGAATTTAAGAATGTTTTGGTCAAATGTGTCATATTACAGGTTTTGTAAAATGTCACCGGCTACACTCAACTCCTACTGTGCTACGATTTTATTCGTTTTAATAATTATCCAAAAATCTTTTGCTTGAAAGTTTCGAGACAAGTTAAAATTAATGGTTACTGAAAAATTTTAGGTGGGGAAATTTCCCTCCCCGTGCATGCGCGCCTGCTAACCTTATTTTACAGATACAGCGTTTTATGAAATTTTTGTCGAATATTTTAATAACGTTTTTAGGCGTACCCTCTCCATGAAGTGGGACCCTATGCAACTGCTTATTTTGTTTGTAAGTAAATCCAAGTCTGCTGATAGCACATCCCCAGAGCGGCGCGCAATTCTCCTCCTCTCCCCTTCTCTCACCGTTCTCCCTCCTTTCCCCTCCCACTGACGGCGCGGCGCCGTCAGCGGCGGCGCGCAGCTCTCGCAGTGTGGTGCCGACTGCGCACGGCACCGGTGTGCGGAAGGGATTTGTGGCTCGCTCTCTCCGTTGCCCGGCCTCGCGCGTGCTCTCCGGCGCTGACCAGCCAACGCCACCGCCGCTCATGCTGCCACTGCATCCCGACTCAACCAGCGGTGTCTCGCTTTCGAATACGTGACCCATGAATTTCTCCGGTGATCGTGCGAAAAAGACTACTGGTGACGAGTGATATTCTTTCAAGGAGTTCGGCCTCGTTCGTCGCCGCGTTGCGCGTGGGGGCGCGTGTGTTTGTGGTGCATCCCTTGAATGCGCGTGAATGCACTCCGCTTCTGAACAGTGACTCCTCTTTCCGTCGCCTTTCTGTTTTCCGCTGATGCACCATGGAGACCGAGGAGATAACGAAGCTTGTGGACGGAATATACAAGGTAGGCTCTAGTCATTTCTGATTTTCAATGTGGAAGTGTCTCGGAGGCCGAGAGTGGTTAGTTTTTAAGAGGGGTGAAATGGTTGTAGGTCTCCGAAAATAATGTCGTAAAACATTATGGGTTTGTAGGAGAGAAAACTTCCTGTGAGTCTTTTTTATGAGAGAAGTGACGCGGACAGGTTTATAGTTGACCCAAGGGAATTTTAAAAGAAAATTTCATGGTTGCTGCTTGAAATTTAGTTTACATTTCCGTTTGCTTTAAGAAGACGCCGTGAAAATTTTGTAGACGGGAGAGCTTCCTCTTGGTTCTGATATATTATTTCAAATATATGTTCAAGTACATGCTACGTTTTGATTAACAATTTTACTGCGTTGTTTTAATACATCCAAAATGTGTTTCCAACTTTTCGTTCGTATAAATGCTTAAAAATGACAATTTCATGATTTTTTTTAATTTTTTTTTTATTTTTCGGGGTTGAGATTTCTGACTTATGCTACGCATCTCCCATTCTTCGAAATCATGAACAATTGACTCGCGTAGGACTGAGATTCAGGATCCCACACGTAATTTCTTTGGTTAACAAAGCAAATCAAAGAGTTGCAATTTCTAGACCATTTACCCAGCCCCTGTTTTAACTCACTTTAAAATTACTTCATGGAAGACATTTCATTAGACCTATTGTCATTTATGCCTAACCAGTGTGGGGAGAAGCATAAAGAACATCATTACCAAAACTTCAAGTTCTGCGAAACGGATATCATGGGTTAGAAGAGGCTTTACCATGGTATGTTCGCAATAATTTCGCGCTTCCACATAAGTATTTTAAGTGAGCAACGCATTTTGTCTTTTCCTATCATCATTTTTCCCTTCGACCCCAATTTTCAACTTCAGACGAAACCTTCAATACCTACACTACTTCTTCCTAGCAGGAGGGGGGGGGGCTTGTCACTTTTTAAAACTCTCAGGTACTCATACAAATACTACAGCAAAACAGATTTTAACGATAAGCATCAATGTGCAATATGAAAACAGTTGTGAGGGTTACTTCGTAATAATGTACAAAAAATCTGTGAGATCTTAAGGGTTGGCTGGTAGAGTTAAGTTAATAAAAATAGGAACTAATAATATCGAAATCTCACTTCATTTTTATAGTTCGTAATCGTTCGATAGCCATTAATATTGCGTGTTATTAAACGAACGAAAATGCATTTAAAATCTATTCGCTCATGTCGATTATAAATGTTCTTACTTTTAACCATCGTCATCGCACACAGACGTTTATGATACTTTCACCTTTAGCCAACTTTGAAACTAATGTCAACTTTTGTGGATATTTCTTTATTTGCAGTTTAGCAAACACTCTTTGTTAGAACACTTTCAATGAGTGAAAATTGCCAAGAATAAAAGTACTCTAACCTTAGTTTTTCACCTAGGCCTTCCGAACTTTGGAATGGATCTTGGTGTCTGTAGTGTCCGCCCCCAGGTGTCGTTGAAGTGAAATTACAATTAGAATATATATATATAATATATATATATATATATATATATATATATATACATATATATATATATACCTGCTGCCAAGCAAGTCTGTCAAATCTTCATCTCTTCTGTCGTTTTGTCGGCACCCATTGCAGACCAACTTTCGTCTGTCGTTTGTTTAACATGACCGTACTAGACGATTTGTTTTTTCTCTATATTGTCAAGGATACATTTCTTACATACATAAAATTAGAACATGAATAAGAATAATCATTTGTGAAGTTATGATGCATCATTCGACTGCAAAACAGGCACCTGTTGAAATAATTACTCGAAAATATGCAGTCCATCGAAATCTCCGGCATTATGGTGTAAGAGGTTATAGGTTGGTATACATTTGTGCAATCTTATAAACTTTTCTTAATTTATTATTATTATTATTAATTACTCCATTATTTATAATACTAATCATATATTGTATATATATTATATATATAATTATTATATATAGATATTATATTATTATTATTATTTATTTATTATTAGTATTTAGTATTTATAATAATTATTATATTATATAAATTTAAGTAATTTAATTTATTAATTATTATTATATAGTAGTATATTAGTATTATATAGATACTTACTTACTATTACGATACTTGAATTGATGAATCTCATTATTCTACTTAATATTGAGATAAGCGATAGTACAGGGTGCGCACAGAAACTTACTTATTATGAAAAGCGTCAATCAAAACAAAAGTCACCTTCAGTTATTGTTTTAAATATTTTTTTATTTGAGAATACAATATCCCAATTTTTTTTCATGCAGTCTTGAAAATGACATCGGATAAATGGCGACCTCCATTGCGCATACACTGATGAAGTCGATTTTTGAAATTCCGTATCTACTCTTTGCAGCATATCAACGTTATGTTGTCAATTGGCGTCGCGAATGTTGTTCTTGAGGTGTGCTAATGGTCCGTCTTCGATCGACATAAACCAATTTCAAAATAACCCCATAAAAAGAAATCGCATGGAGTCAAATCTGGAGAGCGTGCCGGCCATTGGAGATCGCCTCTGAGAGAGATGAGGCGGGTCGGGGAAATGTTGTCCGCAAACAAATTCATTGTGTCTCGGTGCTGTGTGTGCTGTGGGCTCCATCTTGCTGAAATAACACTCTTCCAACATTCATTTCTTCGAGACTTGGAAGAAAAAATTCCTCGATCATGTTGCCTGTAAACGAGCTCCATTCACGGTAACTCCGCTTCGTTTTCTTCAAAAAAAAAAAAAAAGACCAATATTCCCATTACGACATCGTGCACACCACATGTAACTCGCCACAATTTCAACTGTGGTATTCTGGTGAAGCTTCACGGCGACTTTACACCACACCAATAACGCATGTTTTGCTTGTTGACGCAGCCGAAAATGTGGAAGTGAGCTCGTCACTGAAAAAAACGACCCGCGTCTTCAGGCAGGTTGGTCAATCAGCATTTCACCATCGCATTTTGACGGGCAACAAAATGCCGTTCAAGTTAATTCTTGCACAACAGGCCCAGTTTGTTAGAGATGTAAATTGAAGGTCTTCATGCAGAATTCGTCGAACCAGTGGTGTCAGAAATTCCCAGCAGCTGCAGCGAATTCGGCGTGTTTGCGAGCCGAACGTCGGGGAGAACGCAACAACTGACTGCTTCACTCTTTCGATATTTTCCGGGGTTCTGATGGTTCCGTTGAAGTCCATTTTCGGTCTAGCGACACTTCCACACTCCCGAAATGAGTTAACCCACGACAGAATCGAATTACGGTCAGGAACGAGAGTGTGAGGAGGAATTTCTCAAAGCGAGCGCGGAAGGCACGTTGCGTAGCCAACAAGTGAGCGACCGTTAGAAAAGAAGCTCTCGAACTGCGAAGGCCCGCTGCTCTCTAGTCACAGCATGATGGCACTGACTGGAAGGAGAAAAAAACTTGGGAACTTCCCCCTCCAGATACGTCCCCTCTCGCCCCTCTAACCGCCCAACTCACCGCGCGGGAATTTTTTCAAATAAGTAAGTTTCTCTGGCGCATCCTGTAGTAATAATATTGTTATTGTTATTATCTAACATCTTACAATAGCTCATTCTGATGTGAAAGTTTTGGCTTCTCATTTACATGGTGAACAATTTACACAATCGCATAATAAAGTGTTTTAATGCGAATATTGGGTGGATCAACATAATTAACATAGGAGCATGACAAAATTTAGAATGAATGAATATTATATTAATATTCAGAATATTTTGTTAATATTTAGTTTGAACGTCGCCATTCCGGCATGTCTGAGTGGAGTGTCAAATGGGCATTCCAGTGTTCAACACTACTACCGCCTCCCCCACTCCGCCGTGCAGATCTTTGACTTCCCTACCTCTCCTTGTTCTTTTTTTCATAAGTTGTTTTAATGTAAATGTATTGTCTATGACCGATCTACCGGCAGTAAAACAACATTGCTCTCCGATTTTTTTCATTTTTCACTTTATTTTATTTCGTATTATTTTGCTATACAGTCTACCTATAGATCCAATAACTGTTATTCCTATGTAATTTGTTTCCTTGTCTCTAGATATTTTCTTATGGGTCGATAACAGGTACGACGTTCGCCACTCCTGAGGAGGTTCCTCTCCATTAATGCACCTTGAAAACATGTGTTTGAGCATATGGTGCAGTTTATAGGGTCCATATTTCAGTAATTCTGCCAGTATATCTCCCGGAGCAGATGACTTATTAGATTTTGTGGTCTTAAGTTATTTTTTCTAAATCTTTAATTGTCAGGTCTACTCTTTGCTCAAGTTTCACTTCCTTGTTTGAGCGGAAGATTCTGTTTTCTAGCAGCATTCTTCCAAAATACTCTTTCCAATTATTAATTCTGATGTTTGATAATGCAATATTATTATTTTTTATTCAATTTAATAGATTTAATTACTTTCCAGGCTTCTGAGCTCCGGTCTTCACCTATGTATTGTTCTATATAATTGCATTTATCCAGCCAGAATTTATTCTTCTTTGATAACACTTCTTGATTTACTTCACAATTTATTTCTTTGTACTGTAAATTATTTTGTTTTCTTGTCACTAAGTCATTTTAAATACAACTCTTCTTCTTAATCATTGCTTCTAGACTCGTGTCCCACCAATAATGTTTCGGTTTTAATTTACAAGTACCTAAAGCCTCTTCTGCGGCTTGGTGAATTCTTTTGTGTGTTCATATTCTTTTTCTATTTGCCCGTGTTTAACCAATAGTTTAGTTTCCAGTTTTTTTTCTGTAAAGATGTGCTGTACTTTCATCGAAGAGACTGCTTAATTTGTATTTGTTAGGTTTCATGACAAATCCATCTTTATCTTCTTTATCCGCGCTATTCTATGTAAATAGCAATTGTGTAATTGGAGGAAGATTGAAATGTTGAATCTGGTCTTCAGAAAAAGGACATTGTCATCTGAATTCCACCGGCTTACGTGGCTCAAGCCATCAATTGATGTCA